ATTCTCTTAGCACAGAAACTAATAGATAGTCTTGTATTATCGATATTGTATTCTTAAATAAAGTATAATCTTTGCTCTTTTATTAACTTTGTAATAAACTACCACAGTAAAGTAATATTCTACTTAGACACTATTGAGAGCCCCTTTTCTATGTCTTATGTTACTTGTATTAAATTAAAAAGGCTGATACTTGTAACACTATATATTGTATGTAACTAACTTTTACATGATAATCATCTATATACTTGGTATTATAAATTTATAATATTTTTTTATTATATTATGAATAGTAGTAGTATATGGTATAGTAAAGTAGTAGTATATACTACAACAATCGTATTTGAGTATATAAAACTAGTATACTATACTCATATAATATATATTTATTATGAGTATAGTATAGTTGTAAATAATTTAATTATGTGATCTTTATTGAAGTTGAGAAGAAGGAGTGACTAATTACCTTGTGATGAATAAGAATTGGTTTTTTATATAAGTGCATGAGAGTAAAAACTGATTTAATGATTTACTATAATCAGTTTCTAGATTTTTACTTTCACACACTCATATAACTAATACTTATTCATCATGTTTATAATTGGTCACTTCTCAAGTTAAAATTCGATAGAAATTTATTTATGATTAACAAAATAAAGATTTTTATAGCATCGCTCTTACAAAATTAAGTTTTTTTTTAAAAGATTTTATAAATTGCTCTCACAAAATTAAATTTTATACAGGATTTTATATATAGTTTTAAAGTTTTATAAGTACTGATTCTTTCTTTGGCAGTTAAATTTTTAGTAAAAAATATTTTTATCAGGTTCTACAGAAAACTGATCTTCAAATATATAATCATTTTCTATATGTAGAAAAAATTTTCACTAAAATCATTATTAAATCTGATGAGAGTAATACAGAACTAATATTGTACAAAGTCAAGTTACAAACTTTACAAAAAAAAAAAAATTTATATTATAATTCACTAACTTTTTTTTAATATTTTATAGTTTTAATTAAATTTGTAATGTATAAAAGCTCAAATATATATATTCTGCTGATGTTTTATTATTTTTTGCATCTTTTTGACTTTTTGTTTTCTACTCAATTAATAGCTTCAGTAATTGAGTCTTGTTTTTATGTTGTAAAGTTTGCTCTCTTTTTTCAGCCTGTGTATTGAACAACAAAATAAATATTTGATGATCATTGTCAAAAAATTTGTGACCCCAATTTTGATTGTTAAGAAAGTTGGCTAATTGTGAATATGCATCTAGCCTCTAAAAAAAATACCTGTAACTACCACATTTGTAATTAAAGTAATGAA